AGAATGTAAGAATCAAAACACTCTCCCTCTATGTCACAATGCCAGGGCTCTGCCTTATTCAGGTAGAGATGAACCAAACTCCCAGTTTGTATAAAACAATTTAATTAAAACAGCACTTACTTTCTGGCTGTTTTAATAGTCCAAAATATAAAACATAAAGATTGCACTCAGCCACAGAATATAAAACAAAAACAGCAAACACTGCTGCAGGTTCAAGATAACTCCATAGTCAAAAGATCCAGTCCAGTGGTCAAACACCAAGAGTTGAATAAACAAAGTCCAGGGATCAAGAGTCTATACCGTAGTCAAAAGCCGGTCCAAAGGTTCAATGTTCCAGAATTCCTAAGATTCAGGAGACAGGTCAGGACACCGGAAATCCACAAACCTGGGGGTAAACCAGCAGCATCTACCACCAAAATAAGATAATACTTTTCTCCCAAAGATCAGTCCCAAGGCTAGTTCCTTATATCCAGAAACACCCAGCTGTAACCAGGCCCGTAGCCAGGATTTCGATTCGGGGGGGGGCTGAGTTTGTTTCGGGGGGGGGCTGAGTCTGAGTGAAAGAGGGTCTACCCTAGCAAACCTTTTGTATCGTTACCCCAATACCCCCATGCATATGGGATATATTGAGTAGGGTGATCAGATCATGATATGAATAAACATAACAGTTTAAATAATGCACCAGTAAGGTCTTTTCACGAACCACCATGAGAATTTCGGGGGGGGGGCTGAAGCCCCCAACCCCCCCCCCCCCCGGCTACATGCCTGGCTGTAGCCCATCCCTTGCATACCTCCACTCTTAAGTGCTTTCACCCATGAATTCTTACTTACATATTACTCAGCCCTTTAGAACTAAGACTTACACTAACCCTTCCATCACCAACTGCTAGGCCTACCACCACCAACCACCATCAACTGCAGAACATGATACATGGCACTCTCTGAACCATCTCAGAGATTAAGATTGTCTGAGGAGGCCCTGCCCTCACATGTGCGACTGGTGGGGACTAGAGACAGGGCCTTCTCAGTGGTGGCACCCATGCTACGGAACAAAGTGGCATTTTAATAAAGTGTACACAAACAGATTTACAATCATCATCTCTCCTTGTCCTCCTGGTGCCTTTAGATTTGTCCTCTTGAACCCTGTTTCCCTGTGGAGTCACTTGCCTACTGTGTAAATTCAAGCTCTGTTTCCTTTCAGAAATAGAAGAGCAAAGGAATGGTTGGAAAAAGTTCTCATGGGAACTGCTTTCCTCTCAAGCTTCCATTTAGCCATCTGTGCATATGTGATTCCATCTGTTAACATCCCTCATCAGCTGTTTTGGGATTTTAAAATGAGGATAAGTGTTAGGGTTAGGGAGCAATCTACATCAGCATAAAACAAGGAAGTCTTGGTTTTGGGGGGGCATGCTGTAGTTCCATAGCAGCGCCTGATATCAGATTTCATACAAATCTTTTTATCGCATGGTTTTCATGCAGTCCCATGATCAAGTGTGCAATTTCAGTCTCCGGTTTCTAGCCACCTCCCCCCTTTTATCCAACTTTCTTCCAGGTTTGGGGCCTTTGTAGATAGGGCCAAAGTTCAAAGGTCGAAACTGATCTAGACAAGATGTTTCCACATTTCTCTCTGTTTTGGAATGAGTCCAATCCATACTTTCTCCTGTGAGGTTTTCTCAGTGCAGTTTCGACAGATATTTGTGTTTCAGTATAATAACCTGAAGATATTTCAACAATTCTAAACACCTGGGGGACGACATTCATTTTATATTATTCATTGTTATCTAGAAATAAATAAGGAAAACACTGGAGAATTTCATGATGCCAGTAGATCTCCAAATGCTATTTTGGAAGTGTCTGTTTAGAGGACGTCCTTACAAGGCAAACACATGTAGCAGGTTGCTATAGTTTGTAAAGAAATACATCTCACCATAGTTGGAAAGGCTGATATTGGTTGCTTGCTGAGCCTTCTGGACTGCTGTTTACTGTTGATGGGGAATTTCAAGGCTGTTTCAGCCCTTTCAGGAACTTTCAAATAGAAGATTATCCTATGAAAACCATTTAAATATAGAACTGAAGGCAAGAAACAATTACCTAAATTCAATGACTTGCTCCAACTAGATAAAATGTTGTTGTTGTTGTTGTTCATTCGTTCAGTCGTCTCCGACTCTTCGTGACCTCATGGACCAGCCCACGCCAGAGCTCCCTGTCGGCCGTTACCACCCCCAGCTCCCTTCAAGGTCAGTCCAGTCACTTCAAGGATGCCATCCATCCATCTTGCCCTTGGTCGGCCCCTCTTCTTTTTACCTTCCACTTTCCCCAGCATAATTGTCTTCTCTAGGCTTTGCTGTCTCCTCATGATGTGGCCAAAGTACTTCAACTTTGTCTCTAGTATCTTTCCCTCCAGTGAGCAGTCGGGCTTTATTTCCTGGAGGATGGACTGGTTGGATCTTCTCGCAGTCCAAGGCACTCTCAGAACTTTCCTCCAACACCCCAGCTCAAAAGCATCGATCTTCCTTCGCTCAGCCTTCCCTAAGGTCCAGCTCTCACATCCGTAGGTGACTACAGGGAATACCATGGCTTTGACTAGGCGGATCTTTGTTGCCAGTCTGATGTCTCTACTCTTTACTATTTTATCGAGATTGGACATTGCTCTCCTCCCAATAAGTAATCGTCTTCTGATTTCCTGGCCAGTCTGCATCTGCAGTAATCTTTGCACCTAGAAATACAAAGTCTGTCACGGCCTCCACGGTTTCTCCCTCTATTTTCCAGTTGTCAATCATTCTTGTTGCCATAATCTTGGTTTTTTTGACGTTTAGCTGCAACCCGGCTTTTGTGCTTTCTTCTTTCACCTTGATTAAAAGGCTCCTCAGCTCCTCCTCGCTTTCGGCCATCAGAGTGGTGTCATCTGCATATCTGAGGTTGTTAATGTTTCTTCCAGCAATTTTCACCCAGCTTTGCATTCCTCAAGCCCCGCACATCGCATGATGTGTTCTGCATACAAGTTAAAAAGGTTGGGTGAGAGGATGCAGCCTTGCCGTACGCCGTACTAGATAAAATACATTTAATCAATGTGAATTTAATTTAAAATGACTTATCATTCGGTAATCGACTCAAGAGATCTACTCCACTTGAGAGATAATAATAATAATAATAATAATAATAATAATAATAATCTTTATTTATACCCGGCCACCATCTTCCCAAAGGGGACTCAGAGTGGCTTACATGAGGCCAAGCCCAATAGTACAGTACAGTAAAATAAAACCAAAACAACTGTGCTGTCGCACGCTGGGCCTGTGCATAAGACTGTAGACAGGACATACATTCTGTGTGCCCAACGGGACGCCGGGGCTGCCTCAGATTAAAGGCCTTTGGATTTCCTTAAAACAGAGTCTTTAGATTGCTTAAAGGTTCAACAAAGTTCTTTATTAATGAAAACAAACAGGTACTTTAAGGTTTTTTAACAGTCTATGGGCTCTCAATCTTGTCCACAGGGAACAGGCACTATCTTCATAACTGTAACTAATAGGGAAATCCTTAACTTCTAATCTGGGCAGTCTGTCTTTGCCTCTGTTGGCGTGGACCCCCTGCACCTGGTACGCGAGTGACCCTTACCAAGCAGATCTTTGTAGACTTCCAGGGGGAAAAGAACTCAGGTTTCCATGATGGCTGACTGAAGTCCTTCAGCAAAGGAACTGTAAGGCTGTATAATCCTCAAGCTATGGGACCTTTCTCCCCGGCCAAGCTGTAGAAGACGAAGCTTTCTACAGGAGCTCTTGGTATTATGTCCTGCATGAAAAGCTTCTCTGTGTGGACTGAACCCAAAATGGCTCCTATTCCCTCTAAAACCCAAAAAGGGGGCGGGACCAGGGAATCTAACTATAATTGACAGGTGGCTTGCCCTATGATTGCAGCCAAAAGAAGCCACCTATCTGCAGAGTCCCTGAAACTTAGGACTACAACAAACATTCAATGCAAAGCAAACAAAATTGGAGCTCCTGGTACAGTTGTACCCATACAACAACAACACACAAAATACAATTAAATCAATAAAAACATAAGAATACAATAAAAACAGCACAAACTAAATACAATGTAAAATCAATCCCAAGGGTGGGCCACCTGAACAAGTTAAAATGATAAAAACTCAGGATGAGATATGGGTGAAAGAGAAGTAGGAGACGTAGTGGAGACAGGCCTTCAAACAGGGAGGGGGAAGTGCAATATAAAGTGCAATATGAGAACAAACCTTATGAGAGGAACAACAAAAGGGAGTATCATATCACTCTCCAAAGGCGCAATGGAAAAACCAAGTTTTGAGATCTTTCTTGAAGGCTGCTAAGGTGGGGGCTTGCCTAATCTCACCAGGCAGTGAGTTCTGGACTTGGGGGGGCCACAGCGGAGAAGGCTCTCTCCCTCGTTCCCAGAAGTCATAAAGGAAAGGGCGAAAGGAGGACCTCCCCCAAAGATTGAAGGGATCGGGCGGGTTTGTGGAAGGAGATATGGTCATGAAGGTAGAAGGGTCCCAAACCATTTAGGGCTTTATAGGTGATAACCTGCACCTTAAATTGGGACAAGAAAATAAATGGCAGACAATGGAGCTCCTTAAACAGGGGGGTTGACCGCTCCCTTTGGTTGATTTAGGCCAAAGGGTTCACCCAATTACGTTGTGTGATGGCGAATGGAATCAAAACACATATAGATCGGAATGCAATTTATTGTGCCTCTTCTACTAGGCACGCCAAGCCCAGATATTAAGAGACAAGGGTGCATTTTTGTTGCCCCAAGCTGCCATGCCAGGTGTTTGCTCAGTTATTTTCCATTCAGAAATTATCCAGAAATCATATGAAATATGTCAGCGATGCAGAAAGGGCATGTTAAATAAAATAGATCATCTCTCTGAGAAAGGCAAAGAATCAAAATATCAGTGCGCATTAAGCTAAAAAATTAAGCTATCGAGGTGCTCCACCCATTTCAAATAAATGCCAGGTGTGCACCAGGGTGGGACTTTGGCATGTATAAAAAACTACCTATGTTTAAGAAGTGCCCATTGATTTATTGGCTTACGGACTAAAGCTGTTGGAAGTAAGCATGTCTGGCAAGAATATCCAGGGATTTGCTCAACAAGCAGAGCGCACAATGCACGATGCTGGTAAGAAACATTTTCGACATTTTACTCTTTCGTTTTCATATTAGAAATCTAGTGGAAATTTTGGTTCTCAGGACTTGTTGATACATTCAGGAGAATCAAGTTTTCCCTGCTTGATGTCAGCTGAAGCTGAAGGAGGTAGTTTTATGAACTGAAATGTATGTATGTTAATGAGAACTGGAAAAAGATATTTTACCACCTGAGACAAAAAGCAAAATGGGTGCCACCATCCTAAATACAGAGGCTTGGTGTCAGTGGGGCATTAAATCCATTCTTGGTTTCAGTGTGAACTTTAACAAAACTATCCATGGTGCTGAACCTATTCTTAGGATGGGCTTCAACACTTTGGAGTGAGCCTTTGAAATTCAGATTAAACTGAAAGTAGATTCATTACCCTAATGACCTAGCTGCCAATGTGCTTATCCCAAGACCGAATGATAACACTGGATATACACATTTTGGTGCCTCTAATGTCAGACCTGTTTCTGGGTATATTTGACATGCTGATTCAAAAAATGGCACCAGTGTTCCTATATCAGTTCTAGTTTTTAAGATATGGACCATTTGCCATCTACCATCTGCTTGGCCATAGAAAACCATGATAACTATATCTAATAAACTAGAGCTGATTTGGTCTATCCAATACCATTTTCTGAATTCACATCCCAAATTAACCCAGGAACAAGCCTAAAAACCAAGTTGTGTGTGTGTGTGTGTGTGTGTGTGTGTGTGTGTGTGTGCATATATCTATTTAAATAGATATACCGGGCCCAATTCAAGGTGCTGGTGCTGGCCTACAAAGCCCTAAACAGTTCCGGCCCAAAATACCTTGCTGACCGCATCTCGGCCTATGAGCCCACGAGGACCTTGAGATCGTCTGGGGAGGCCCTTCTCTCGATCCCGCCTGCCTCACAGGCACGTCTGGCGGGGACGAGAGATAGGGCCTTCTCGGTGGTGGCCCCCCGGCTGTGGAACGCCCTCCCTGTAGATATCAGACAGGCGCCCTCCCTGATGGCATTCCGTAAGAGCCTAAAGACATGGTTATTTGAGAAGGCGTTTGACTAAGTGCTACAACAATTGGCAATGACGATCGGAACGGAATATGGATAACGAGTTTGGTTTATGATTCTACGATGAGACGGCGCGGATGATTTAGTGTAATTGTATTATTGATAGTTATGTTGTTATGTTGATTTTGTTGTGATATTGCCTATTGTAAACTGTTTTTATGTGTTGTACACTGCCGTGAGTCGCCCTAGGGCTGAGAACGGCGGTCAACAAATGCAGTAAATAAATAAAATAAATAAATAAATAAATCTGTGTTTTAAATGAATTTGAAACTTTTTAAACATTATTGTTTTTAGCCTGAAACAGGTTGGACACAATACACTTATCAGGCCAACAAGTGACCATTACTCATAAAAACATTGAAAAACACAGCAGAAGGGACTTAAAAAGCCAAAAGAACAAAAATTAAATTACAATGCATGCGCAAAACCACATATATACATAAACATACATATATATACATATACACAAACATACACACATTCATACACACACACAAAACACATATACACAGTCTGGGCCACAGCAACGTGTGGCAGGGGATATATATATATATAGTTGGACTGTGTATATTGTGTATATTGTTTTATCTTATTGTATTGAAGCCTCTGTTGTTGTATTGAAGCCTCTCCAGAGGTCGAGAAGACCGGGTTATAAAAACTCTAAATAAATAAATAAATAAATAAATAAATAAATAAATTTTATACCTAATCCAGTGCTTAAAAAGTCACTGTCTTTCCACAAAAAAGAAGAAAATATCCATGTTGAAAAACAATCTAATTCATGTCCTTAAATGCCGCCTATCTGTTAGGTCACCATCACTCAGCCAGGTGGTGTGATAAGAGAGATGTTTTTCATATTGTATGTACATACTCAGCACTCTCTCTCAAAGAACATCTTGTGTCAGCTGATGTGTGGTGGATAACATTATCATTTAAAGCTACCATGTCTCTTAAGTACCTTAAAATGTGGGCCTGTGCCTGTGACTCTCTAGCCTGATCATGACACAGCTCTGAATGATGGTGTGTCATGGGGGAGTTAAGCCTACTGCCTTCTGCATACAGGTGGCAGCCTGGGTACATCGTAGGACTGAGATGGATTTCAGGCACAACTGGGTTTAGTAACACACCTAGTTGGATACAAGGGGTTGAGCAGAGCTTCAGTTGTTTTCTTAATGCTGCCAGGATGCTTCCTCCACGGATCCTCATTCGCCGTCACACAACGTAAGGCAACTTCTGGTGGGGCTCTCTAGAGGGCCAGGTCACAGTCCTTCAAACTGTTGGAGGGCCAGATTATAATTTGAAAAAAGCATGAATGAATTCCTATGCACACATATCTTATTTGTAGTGCAAAAAACACTTTAAAACAATACAATAATTAAAATAAAGAACAATTTTCACAAATATAAACTTATTAGTATTTCAATGGGAAGTGTGGGCTTGCTTTTGGCTGATGAGATAGGATTGTTGTTGTTGTGTGCTTTCAAGTCATTTCAGACTTAGGTTGATCCTGAGCGAGGGCTGGATAAATGACTTTGGAGGGCCTTAGCTTGAGGATCCCTGCCCTAGAGGAAGCATCCCGGCAGCATGCTAGGATGCTTCCCTGGGAACACTGGAGACTTCCCATGTTCCATAGAGAAGAATGGAGGAAGCCCGTGGAAACCTTTTCCCCCTTTAGGATGAGGTAAAAGGTGATGCAGCACATAGGGCAACAATTTCTTCCACTGCTCCACAGATTTGGACGCCAGTATGATGAGGTTTCTTACTGCAATTTATTGTGACCTAGCAGGAGAAATGTACATTTCCTTTTAAAATGCATCTCCCCCAGAACTAAAAAGAGAAAGAATCTCAAGAGACACCAAGGAAAGTCTTCTTTTTTAGTTCATGCATGGGAAATAGTCAAACTGGGCCTGCCCATTATTTAATTTGGGTTACGAAAGTAAATTAGGTTCAGCTGCATGCCATACATTTCAAGTAACATGCTGTTTAGCTAAAAAAATACCTCACCACCCTTTTGCTTTCCCAGTCTGAGTACCATGCATCTTTCAGCACAACCAGGTGGCTTACTTGGCACACCACCATTGACAACTAATGCGTCGTGTGATCAGTTTAGTTGTGCCTGTTTTAATGTTGTTTGAGTCACAGTTTGAACAGGTCTCATCTATTGTTTTCTTTTTACCCCCACTCTCTAACTGTACTTCTGACTTCTTGACCCACATCGGACGACTAACAAATCTTGTTTTTCCTGATTTCAGCAAACAGTCTGGGAAAGGCCACACAGCAAGGCATGAACCAAGTTTCGGAGGCAGGCCAGAAAGGTATGAGAGAAATAAGCTGGGGTTCAAACTGGGCATGCTAAAAGAACAAATTCAACAATTTGTACTCAAGCCATAGCACCAACCGAAGCAAGATATGCACTGGGGGCAGGCATGTAGCCGGGGGGGGGAGGGGCTTGAGGGGCTTCAGCCCCCCCCCCCCAAATTCTCATTGTGGTCCCCAAAAAGGCCTACTGGTATATTATTTAAACTATTATTTTATTCATAACATGATCTGATCACCATGCTCAATATATCCCATATGCATGGGGGTATTGAGGTAACGATACAAGAGGTTTGCTAGGGTAGACCTTCTTTCACTCAGACTCAGCCCCCCCCCCCCCCCCCCCCCCCCCCCCGCTACAGGCCTGACTGGGGGGAAACCAGATGATCTCAGACCTGTCATTGTCTCCTCCAGATTTGTTGATCTGCAAGCCCCAACACTTTACTGACAGAGGTTCTACCCAAGACCTCAGGAAGTGCTGGGTTGGGAGAAGTAGAGTCACTGCCTGTTTGATTTGTAATGCTTGTCCATAATCCTTAGTGCCTAAGAGACATCTGCTCAAGCTATACTTCCTGGGCAGAGCACATGAAAAAAAATCTTAGATGAGGCGCAAGAATCACTAAGGGCTGTGCCAAGAAGTCCAGAAAAACAACCCTAGTGGGCTGGATAGACTAACAGGCTTTACATGAAAATGCCATGTATATGATATGACTCCTGTACCTGCAATGGATACTTTCCTGAACTTACTACTGATAATAGCAAACTTCATTGAAATAGATGGCTTCTGCTAGATCATCACAGAAGACCTAGACTAGTGGTTCTCAACCTGTGCATCCCCAAGTGTTCTGGCTTACAACTCCCAGAAATCCCAGCCAATTTACCAGCTGTTAGGATTTCTGGGATTTGAAGGCTGAAACTTCCGGTGACCCACAGGTTGAGAGCCATCATATAAAAGCATACAACTGCAATATACATTAAATAAATTATATAATTACCAAATCATGGCATTAAACCCTCAGGTAATAAGAACACAAAAGTATGGTTAGAACGGAAAATTACATACAGAGGTATGAAAAATAAAAAACTCGCAAACAATACTAAAAAATGCTGCAGTGCTAAACTAACAATACAACAGTACTGTGCTCAAAGTTGAATCAACCAGATTTTGATAATTTAAGGTTCTAGATCAGTGGTTCTCAACCTGGGGTCCCCAGATGTTTTTGGCCTACAACTCCCAGAAATCCCAGTCAGTTTACCAGCTGTTAGGATTTCTGGGAGTTGAAGGCCAAAAACATCTGGGGACCCCAGGTTGAGAACCACTGTTCTAGATCAATGGTTCTCAAACTGTGGGTCCCCAGATGTTTTGGCCTTCAACTCCCAGAAATCCTAACAGCTAGTAAACTGGCTGGGATTTCTGGGAGTTGTAGGGCAAAACACCTGGGGACCCACAAGTTGAGAACCACCGCTTTAGATAAACAGGATTTCTAGATATGTTCCTTTTTTCTATCAAAGTTTTTTTTTGCATTTTTCATAGTATTTTTATTTATTTTTTTACAAAAAATATTATAAAATTACTGATACAAATTGAAAAAGAAATAGAAATAAAAGTAACTACAACTAAGACCCCCCCCCCCAGCAAGCATGCAAAGAATGAGGAAGTACTTCATCAGTGTCACAAATGGTCGGTGAAGGCACAGCTCCCCTGATGGCCAGAATACCCTCAAGAAAAGCTGGAATGTTAAATTGCCTCTGTGTCTATCTATATATGTTGTGTGTCTATGGTATTGAATGTTTGCCACGTATATGTACATTGTAATCCGCCCTGAGTCCCCTGAATAGAAGGGCAGAATATAAATACTGTAAATAAATAAACTTAACAAAGGTTTATATATTTTACCAAGCAAATGTTCATCGTTGGTACATAAGTAAAATTCAAACTCTGATTTCTTTATAACTTTTCCAGTCTCTGAACTTGAACTCAACCGCAATAGCAACTGGTATAAATGAACACTTTCTCCAGTAAAACCAAGCAACAAGGCACCATTTTCTTGTGTCCAGCAGAATCTTCCCATGTTCTGTTCCATTATTACCTTATTCTTTTCAGAACAGTGTTGCTTAGGAACACCACTAACAAACTATGCTTGTTGAAGAAGGAAGTGTGTGTGTGTGTGTGGTCAATATTATTCTGAAATGAAATGTAACAGGTTGTTGTCAGCAACTAGGCAACCCAATATTAGGAAAGCTGGATTCATGTTTTTATAAACCACACACACAAACACAACAGGTCTATACCATTAAAATGATTTTTCTTTCCTTTTACAGCCGTGGACCAGACTTGCAAGAGGGTTCAAGAAGGTGTCGACAAAGCAACGGGAGAAGCAGCAAACGCCATATCGGGCCTTGAGAAAAAAATTGGACTTAAGAAATGAGGATGGCTATCACTAGATAAATATAGCTGAGCAACTCTAGACCTGTGTTTCCCTCTTCCGCTTCTATTATAATCATTATCTTTGCATAAAACATGGAATATATTCTTCCTTTATGTTCATTTTAATTGGCGTGTCTTCTGAAAAGAAAAGAAAAAGACTGTGTACAACCTCCAGAAGATGACAACATCTTCATGATCCACTGACCAACAGTGTGCGGTCCTTCATCACTTGCAACTGCAGGAGGATTTGCTGAATGATCATCTCACGAGTATAATGATAATGACCATAAAACAAATTCATCACCCCATTAAGATGTTTTTATCCCCTTCCCTTCATTTTTAATGTACAGATGAGACATCAGAACAAAGCAGAGGAGAAAATAATATGGCCTTCCCAACAGAGGTGGTTGGACTACAACCCCCAGCATTCCTCACTATTAGCTATTCTGGATAGGGCTACTGGACCTTGCAGTCCAACAATATCTGGAGGGCAGCATGAAACTAAGAAGGTCACCCAGTTGAGAAACTGCAGACATTTCCAAATTATGTCTGTTTTTGAGATCTTTTTTGAGTGTATTGATATAGCCAGCTTTCCCTTTTTGCGTGTGGCCTAAATACCATAAAGGCAGTGGATTCTGAGTGATATCAACTCTAGTTAGTACTTAGATGGGAGACCGACAACAAATCCTAGATTAATGTATTGTCAAAGACTTTCATGGCTGGAATCACTGGATTGTTGTAGGTTTTTCGGGCTATAGGGCCATGTTCTAGAAGAATTCTCTCCTGACATTTCATCTGCATCTATGGCAAGCATCCTCACAACCTCTGAAAATACTTGCCATAGATGCAGGTGAAACATCAGGAGAGAATGCTTCTAGAACATGGCCATATAGCCCAAAAGCCTACAACAATCCAAATCCTATATTTCAGATGAAAGAATTGGCAAAACCACTTCTGAGTATATCTTGCCTAAGAAAAAATCTTTATGGATTGCTAGAAGTCGATAGTTGACTTGAAGGCACACACAAACACTTCTTTGTGTGCAGTTTGCGCAAGTTGTTAAATCACGATGGCTTTCGAAGTTTGTGTTTTGTCTTTGAACAGATGGTTCTGTTGCTGACTGTCTGAAAATTAATGTTAAATCTGCAGAGACGTAACGCTGCTGCAGTTGGAATGATTTTCCAACTGTAGCCGTTTCAAAACTGCAGACGGTGCAAATGTACGGGATGCCAAAGTCACTCTTCATTGCTGTCTGTCCCCTAATCTAGCCTCAACCAACAAAGAAACCACTGCAATAGCTCAGCTACATAATTATTAATGCAGAAATACTATGATAGCTCGTATGTATTTCCATTTTTTTGTTTATTTGAATATAATGAAATAAAAGGTGCATAAATATATGAATCCTGTGAGTGGCTGAAAACACTGTTATTTTGGAACTCTTCCTTATTGCATCTGACTTGACCATCAGGACATTTTAATGGTACACTATTTTGTATTGTCGAAGGCTTTCATGGCTGGAATCACTGGCTTGTTGTAGGTTTTTTCGGGCTATATGGCCATGGTCTAGAGGCATTCTCTCCTGACGTTTCGCATGCATCTATGGCAAGCATCCTCAGAGGTAGTGAGGTGGATGCTTGCCATAGATGCAGGCGAAACATCAGGAGAGAATGCCTCTAGACCATGGCCATATAGCCCAAAAAAACCTACAACAACCCAGTACGTTATTTTGTTGATTTTTAAAATATTTTTCCTTTTAATGAATTTTAAATTTTATTTTTAATACTCCCTTTCCCTATTTATAAATTTGTTGTTGTTGTTGTTGTTGTTGTTGTTGTTGTTGTGTGTATTCAATTTGTTTCCTGACCATAAGATGATCTTATCAAGGGTCTTTAATAATAATAATAATAATAATAATAATAATAATAATAATAATAAACTTTATTTATACCCCGCCACCATCTCCCCCCAAAAGGGGACTCGGAGCAGCTTACATGAGGCCATGCCCAACAGTACATTACAACAAAATAAAACCAAAATAACAAAACAAATGTCACAATCTATATAAATAAAAATGTAATGTTCTGGGTTGTAGGTTTTTTCGGGCTATATGGCCATGGTCTAGAAGCATTCTCTCCTGACATTTCGCCTGCATCTATGGCAAGCATCCTCAGAGGTAGTGAGTCTGTTGGAACTAGGGAAAAGGGTTTATATATCTGTGGAATGACCAGGGTAAAATTACAACAGCACAACAACAGAGAGGAAACAAACAAGGACATCTAATCACCTCTCAACAAAAGTTTGCTCTAGGCACTGTCAGGCCATTATATGCTAATCAAGGTGGTCAGTTGAAACATTCACACCTAGCTCCAGCAGACAAGAGTCATTTGTCTCACCCTGGTCATTCCACAGATATATAAACCCTTTTTCCTAGTTCCAACAGACCTCACTACCTCTTAGGATGCTTGCCATAGATGCAGGCGAAATGTCAGAACATGGCCATACAGCCCGAAAAAACCTCAACAACCTCTGAGGAATCTTGCAATAGATGCAGGCGAAACATCAGGAGAGAATGCCTCTAGAACATGGCCATATAGCCCGAAAAAACCTACAACAACCCAGTAATTCCGGCCATGAAAGCCTTCAACAATACAATGTAATGTTCATTTGTGGGATTAACGTAACTCAAAAACCACTGGACGAATTGACACGAAATTTGGACACAATATGCCTAACAGTCCAACGAGTGTCCATCACCCATAAACACACACACACACACAAAACCCCAACAAAACAGACTTAAAAACCCCAAAAATACACCATATACATATACACATGCACACATTACACACACGTATATATATCCACAAACACACACAAATATACACATATACATATACACATATATACATATACAAATGAACACATTCATATATACATATACATTCACACACATATACATATCCACATACATACATATACACACAAAAATGCATATAGACAAGCACACACATATGCAATACGCATGTACACATATAAACACACAAATAAACAAATATATACACACATATATACACCCACACACCCACTCACATACATATACGCAAACACACATATATATACAAATATACGCACACACATATACACATATATATACACACACACAAAACACATATACACAGACTAAGCCACAGCAACGCATGGCAGGGACAGTTAGTTAAGTAAATAAAAATATAAGAATGCAATAAAACAATACAAAATAGTACAGTGCAAAATCCATCCCCAAGGGTAGGCCACATGTGCGAGATGTGCAAGATCTTTCTTAAACAGATTTGCTGAGAGAGAGTTTGTATTGAGAGGCTGAGAGAATGTGATTTGCCCTGGAATTTTTGTCAATCTATGGAGCTACTACAGTCTCGAAGGAGAAGAACATTCTTATTTGGACCTACCACCCTTGGCTATCTTCGCTGTGCCACTAAAAGCTGGTTGAAAGCTCAAATCTTCCTTTGGTGACTAATTTAACAGCTAGTTTGAGTACTGGACTCTTTCCTGTCACCTGATCATTTAACAGACAATACTAGGAACTGAATGTAGGACCCTACATATGCAAAGCATGTGATTTATGGGTTGTTGTAGGTTTTTCAGGCTGTATGATCATGTTCCAGAAGCATTCTCTTCTGACATTTCACCTGCATCTATGACAAGCATCCTCAACAATACAAATTCTTAAGTTGAATTTGTTTGTAAGTTGGAACAGGTCCATTTATTAAGTGTAACAATAAATGGACCTGTTCTGACTTACAAACAAATTCAACTTAAGAACAACCCCCCAGAACCTATCTTGTTCATTACTTGGGGACTCATGTAAGCCGCACCAAGTCTCCTGGGGAGACTGGGGAGATGGTAGCGGGGTATAAATAAAGTGTTATTATTATTATTATATTATTATTATTACCCGTAGAAGATAATTTGGGGCAGCCACAGTTCTGCATTTATTATTCATCTAGCCAATTCAAAGTTACCTAGGAATAGTGGTCCTCTGGATAACATTCAAAATACAGATTTAATACCAAAATTCCATTGAAAGTATAAAGCAGCTAATAATATCTTTTAAAAAAAACCTAAACAACTCCCTGCTGCAGTTTCTCTTTCTAACCACAAAGTGGAGTGCAAGAATATCTTATACATACTAAGTTGTTTGCTTCATTTCCCCAAAACTAAAGAAGCAGCTGGAATTCTAAGTACATCTAAGCTGGGCTAATAAAAAGGAATTGTTCTGTTATAAGACTGCATACACTAAAGAGGGATTTGTGGCCAATTCCACAATCAGGGTCACTCCTCCGTACTCACCTACTCTTCCTCCTGTTTTGGGACCCAAAGAGATAGAAAATACTCTCCAAAAGATTGGGATTGGCTCTAAGAATAAGGCATCGATGCATACACACACAGCATAAAAGAGACAAAATGCATCACCAGAAAAAAAGGATAAAATGGACCTTGTGTTTGCATAGATTTAGACCTCAGGTCTCTATAAAACTGAATTGATTCAGACAGCTCTTCAAATGTAGCCATACCTCTGGGGTCCACATTCCAGTACTGCCAAGTTTTGGCTCTGCTGAAGACACATTTTGCAAGGAGGTGTGTGCTACCTCTTTCCACAACATCCCCAAACGTACGTATGCTAGTGTAACTCTCAGTCTCACAGGCATTTCTCATATAGAGGACTCCAGCCTCTTTGTCCTAAGCTAACAACCCAACAACATTTTGGAAAACAATACGTACAAGTTCTTGTTCAACGTATTTTGGATTGTTTCTGAAGCTCAGACTCTCCTATGTTTGACACATGAACATATAAACATGCACAGTGTGTGTATGTACATTGCAAGGAGGTGATAAGCTTGTGCCACACTGACTGAACCATGCATGACTTGAAATTTCTAAAAGCAAGCCTTGATTTTTCCATTTTATATAAGGGACACCATTTTTGCATCATTATATAATGGAGGAGCCTCCGGTGGCACAGTGGGTTAAAGCACTGAGCTGAGCTTGTTGACCAAAAGGTTGCAGGTTCGAATTCGGAGAGCGGTGTAAGCTTCCGCTGTCAGCCCCAGCTTCTGCCAATGTAGCAGTTTGAAAACATGCAAATGTGAGTAGATTAATAGATACCACTCTGGCTGGAAGGTAACAGTGCTCCATGCAGTCATGCCAGCCACATGACCTTGGAGGTGTCTACGGACAACACCGGTGTAAAGGAGGACTGCTACACAAGCTGCCACCAAAAATGTAAAGGTCCACTAAAAAAATGTAAAGATGGCTACTAAAATAACCTGCCACCAATTTGTAAAGATCTATATTCGATTTGTAAAGGCTCTTGTATTAATATCACTGGATGCCACCCTATTTGTGTTGTGAGGTAATTATGGTAGATTGGGTACACCGAGCGTAGAATAAATGGAGATGAGGCAGTTTTAAAAACCAAAGAGAACAAGTTTATTTGAAACAAAGCGTATGGTTACAGTTTGATGTTGAGCTTGGCAGATGCTTGAAGAACGATACATGTAACTTGGTTGTGATACAGTTCAAACTTCCGATGTTACAACTTATGAAACTCTTGCTGTGGTGAAGCACTTAAAACAATGTTTTACAGTGGTGAATAGTCTCCCTGTTTGATTCTTCTGTGATCAAACACCAGATCTCTAGTTCTCTTAACTAGGGATCCAAGCAAGCCTCT